TTACACACTTAAAATATATGGTTTCTTCGATTTATTTTATAAATTACTTCAAAAATTCTTAGATTTTTTTCCTTTCTTTTTATTTAATTCATGTTTTCAATCGTGTGGGAATTATAAAATTATCATAATCAATTAGCTTATTATCACTCGATTAAGTGTATACAATCTAGAAATACAAATACATCTAAAGTATTTGTAAATCTCCAAATTATATTCAATTATGTATTATATACTTCAATGTAGCGATAATTATTACAAATTATAAATATGNTTTTTCGTGTTTTTGAAGCGTCCTCGTAAATCACACATACTGTATATATTTTTTCCTATATAAAAAATAAAATAAAATACTACAAACCGCTTACCTAATATATGAAGAAACACAAGCAAGCCGATAAGTCTCAGCAAACCATTCATGTTCCTGTACTAAATCTCTTTTATAAAGTTTCCTTGCAAAGTCTGTGCGGTAATGTAATCCCCTATACGATTCAATGGGATTCCAATAGATGGTTTAGACCGTATGCTACATTACGAAGGGTTGACATCGACGGACAATGTGTGTATCGAGGGTTAGTCTGGCCATAGTCCGTACCGTACGATCCTAACGACGAAGCGATTGTGACACAACTGCTTACACGTCGGCAACCAAGTCCCGTCAGGGAATCGATAGAGTCAGCATACCTGGACTATACCCACAGCGCCCTCTCTTAGTCCGTTATAAAGAGGATATGTTGGTCAATCGACTCCATTCAGGCGAAGGTGCCGAAGGCTATCAGAACTCTTCCGTTCGGACGTCCTCTTCCGATTGATACCCGTTTACTACGTCACAACCAATAACCGTTTCGATCTCTTCAGTTCTTGGATTAATTTTTCTCCAGACGTGCAAACTGCGATTTCTAATATGCATTTTACTAAAAAGAGTATATTGCGCTTATAAAAATCAATATACTTTTGTACTGGCTCCGTTCATTTGAGTTGTTTAGTATAGGCAATGTTTGGGTTCGTATAGAAGAAAGTATGTTTGCTCGGGGTATACTTGCAAAGGAATGTATTTGTATAGGATTTATTAGGATTGAAATATATTTATGATAGGCTAAATTTGTACGGATTTTATTAGTATTGAGCTACGTTAGTGTCAGCTGTAGTTTGCATTGGATTTTATTACGTGAATTAGGAGTATGGGGTAAATAAGCAATGAAATATATTTACATAAGACATACTAATATTGCATTATACTTATAATGGATTTATTTATGTTATCTATATTTACATAGTNATAATTTCCTTAGCATATACAGTTTTCTGCATTTTTTAAGATCAAGATGAAAATTCCAGTAAAATCCTAATACTTTCAGGTGTACAGCACATTCTCAGGGATACTTTTTCCATTTAGTAAAGCCATCAATTCATCAAAAATACAAATATTATTTTAATAAATTTTTTATTTTTGTTTTTAAAGAAATTCATTTAAAAGCTACTTGACTTCAAAACCTTTTAAATTTCTTCCATCTGTTTAAACTTTTATGAGAAGTGACAAAGCTTTTTTTTTTCATCGTAAAAATTCCATAATCATAAAATAAAACATCACAAAAATGATAACTATCTTAACACTATCCTCTCAAATGCGATAAAATAGAGCAGAACGTTCAATGTGTTCCGCAAGTAAGATGATCTGTGCACTGTCATATCTGACATGTGCACATGTCGTTGAGATTAATGCAGCATGAGACGTTAATTACTCCGTCTAGCAATATGACTATGTCACTTTTACTTTTTATCGTCTGTTAAACGTACACTATTAAGGTACCTGGATAGCGTTCTACTGATAAGATTTGATGCTGGATTATCAGGTAAAGCCTTCTCAATCCTCAAAATATTCTGTAACCTTCACTTAGAGTAAACTGTCACGAATGAATATGCTCCTGCAGTTTGTTGAAAGATTATTTCCTGCTATGAAAATAATTGTTTTTTTAATCATGTTTTAAGAAATGTTTTATGCGTAATAACTTTAATTTGAAATAAAATATAAATAAAATGAATTTAACACTATAACATCATTAGAATTTCGTATCAGGCTAAGTCAATTTAAATCAAAATAGAGCATTTATACTAATATTTCTGTATATAGAAAACGTATGCTTTATAAATATCATTTGTTAAAAATGTTAATGATTTAAGAAATTTATAATTTTGATATATTACAATTATTATTCTATAAGTTTACTATCTTAGAGAAATGATAGGGACGTAGAAACATTAAAAAATATGAATGCCAACTTCAGAAACTGATAGTTAAATGAGAAATTTAAGATAACGTTAACTGTAATCTGTTGCCTGTAGCAAGTCATCGCGTGTTTACCGTTTAATATGTTAAAACAATTTTAACTTCCTATATTAATTTTTATAAAATATATTTTCCCTATTCCGCGTTTAATTATATAAAAATAGAAATTTATTTAACATTTTTTAATGCAATTTATAAGATTTTTTCTGTATGGGATAAAACGATGTATCCGATTTATATAAATAAACATATCCTATAATTATTAAAATGCAAATTTACTTATGTCAAATAATTTTAGTTGTTTTAATATTTGAATGATAATTAAATCGATTGACTGATTAATCAATATGCACAGTGAATAACTGAAAATGAAGGGAATTCCAATCTTTATTATCTGACAGACTTGTTTTTCGATGCAGGTAAAGACTATGCGAACCAGTTTCCAATTAAGAAGGGAAAAAGAACGAACGCGTAACTTAAGATTTTTTTTTCTTTTATCATTCTTTGCTGTCCAAGCGACTGAGCAAAGATGAACCAATTTTGCACTCGGCTGAATTCATTACACGCCAGTTGGAGGCCTTGTTCATCCTGAGGTCGTCGTTTGCAGAGCTTCGAAGACTGTTTGTTGTATAATGTTGGTTGCTGTCTTTTCTTTCTTAAAAACGATGTCGAAATGAACGGAGTGAGACGTGAGAAAGGATATTAATTTTGTCAGCAGAATCAACTGGAGTGAAAAAAAACACTAAGAGAGGATATTTTACTTATAAGATGAACTACTTTATTGTAGAGTAAAATTTTCAAATAGTTCTGTAGGTTAAGTATTAACACAGCTAAATATCATGTGATTATATAATTTAATGCAGCATTATTAAATATCGTATGAAAAAATAAAATACCTCACCTGAAATACCTTCATATGTCCACCATTCTTCCCAGTTTCCAAAAGAACTTCCTATATTAGAAAAATATATATCCCATCAGGAAAAATAAAATATATCAGACAGAACTGAATATTTACAACAAATATAGACTTATAAAAATATAAAAGTAATCTTAGGTTTAAATTGTGTAAACATTCCACTGGCTTAAAACAAAGATAGGTTACATTTTATGTATGATTTTCTAACAATAATAAAATATTCAAACTACATCTGAAATATGAGTTCTTGCGCTCTTTTGTATTAAATATAAAATAGCCTGAAAGAAATAGAATGCAAAATAAATTAGCTGAAACTTTCTACGAAAATTAACCTTATTCTAAGTTATTTGTTTAAATTGCTGTTCAGAATAAGAGTTGTTGGGAAAGATAAAGTTCTATAATAGAATGGATAAGTTTATATATTATAGAATAGAATAACATTAATTAGTGAATTAATAAATTGAAAACATATATATTAGTAATAAAATTAATGATCTAAAATATTTTGATATTTATACAATAGGAAATCGTATATTATTAAAGGAGTAATGCGTAAATTCAGCTTCCTATGAAACTCTATGCCATCTATTTATAAAGTATTTACTGTATTCTAAATTTATTTCTAATTTGTTGTTAGAGATAGAATTATTTAATTATAATAATTATATATATATATATGTTCTGAATAAACATTTATTAATATACAAATGTTGGAATTTGAATAGTTTATTGGTCTACAAAATAACGCAGTAACTATCTATACTGTATAATATTTCCCACTTTATTGGAATATTAAGCATCATGCATCATACTGTAATATATGGAAGTTTCAGGTGTTCGTTACCGAATAAAGTTATTCAATAATGAGTTGTCATTTATTATAATGTCAGGGTTTTTTAAACGGATTCTATCGTAGGTTTGCTACTAGTATTATATAATTATACCATAAAAAATTTTGTCCATTTGTGAATTTCAATTTGTTAAATTTAAGAACATTAAAAAAGGTAAACGTGTAAGTATATAAATAGGCCTGTAGAGAGAAAAGGATACAGAATACAAAATCTAAAAAGATTTCGGATGAGTGATTAGTAAAGATACGCATTAGATCTTATAACGAAAACTTTGCACACAAAACTTTGTTGAAGTGCCACTAGACCATTATTGGCTCCAAAATCAGTCTGGCAAATCACAGAAGCGACGAAAGAGTGAAAAAGAGCGTTAAGGATATACCCAGTTGGCGCTTATAGAGCGTACTTGCAATTCCATCAATTGTAGTGTCTCAGCCAAGTGGCTAGCCACTTTGGAAACGAGATTAAAGTACGAAACAAGAGGGTTGTAGCCAGCGCGACAATGGCCGACTGGTTCCCATTTTATCGTTGTTGGCTAACTATTGACGGGTAGTTGTGATCTCCCTTTGAAACCTTTTGTTGCTATAGTCAGCGATACATTGTCGTCTTAAAAACCCACTTTGTAGTTATTGATACGGCACAATGATAAATTTAAAAATAGATAATCTCGATAACATTTAAACACCTTCTAATATTACGTAACATTATTATTATTATTATTATTTTATTTCCTAAGTGTTAAAAGTCTTAAATAAAATTCAATTTCTTATCTTTTCTATTATAATTTAATTTTCCTTTAGCTGAAACACGACTAAAGAAAATTTCTAACTTCAATTCTCTTCTTGCTTCAAAGTTCAAAATATTCCTGTGTAGTGTCTAAGAAGAATAAATTATAATATTGATACAGATATGTTATATTTTCTATTCAGAATATTTTACTTCATTCCAGAAAAATTCCAGTCAGTAGCATGATATGAGAAGAATCAATCTGACTGCATGACCCTAAATTTCCTTTGTTAGTATTAGTGGATGGACGCCAAACCAAACTCTCGTTATTTACCTTCTCTCATACAGACAGGATACGAGATGCTATCAGCAATAAATCGATCTTTTTTACGGTAAGTTGAACTAAAATACGGTAAGTCACGCAAAGTGCTACATCAATGTACACATTGTAGTTAATTTAAGAAATTTCAGAAATAAAAATTTACTCATTAAAAATATATCAACGCTTTATCTATTAATTTTTCAACAGAAAAAAAAGAAGAAGAAATTATTTTTTCTCATCCAAGTGATTATTTGTCTATTAATATTTTAAACTTTGATTATATTATTTTAATAATAATAATAACAATAATAATAATATTTTTTAATAGTAAGAAAGTNCATTTGTTAAAAATGTTAATGATTTAAGAAATTTATAATTTTGATATATTACAATTATTATTCTATAAGTTTACTATCTTAGAGAAATGATAGGGACGTAGAAACATTAAAAAATATGAATGCCAACTTCAGAAACTGATAGTTAAATGAGAAATTTAAGATAACGTTAACTGTAATCTGTTGCCTGTAGCAAGTCATCGCGTGTTTACCGTTTAATATGTTAAAACAATTTTAACTTCCTATATTAATTTTTATAAAATATATTTTCCCTATTCCGCGTTTAATTATATAAAAATAGAAATTTATTTAACATTTTTTAATGCAATTTATAAGATTTTTTCTGTATGGGATAAAACGATGTATCAGATTTATATAAATAAACATATCCTATAATTATTAAAATGCAAATTTACTTATGTCAAATAATTTTAGTTGTTTTAATATTTGAATGATAATTAAATCGATTGACTGATTAATCAATATGCACAGTGAATAACTGAAAATGAAGGGAATTCCAATCTTTATTATCTGACAGACTTGTTTTTCGATGCAGGTAAAGACTATGCGAACCAGTTTCCAATTAAGAAGGGAAAAAGAACGAACGCGTAACTTAAGATTTTTTTTTCTTTTATCATTCTTTGCTGTCCAAGCGACTGAGCAAAGATGAACCAATTTTGCACTCGGCTGAATTCATTACACGCCAGTTGGAGGCCTTGTTCATCCTGAGGTCGTCGTTTGCAGAGCTTCGAAGACTGTTTGTTGTATAATGTTGGTTGCTGTCTTTTCTTTCTTAAAAACGATGTCGAAATGAACGGAGTGAGACGTGAGAAAGGATATTAATTTTGTCAGCAGAATCAACTGGAGTGAAAAAAAAACACTACAATGTTCTTACTATTGACGAGGATACAATGTCATCTTGTCGTAGAGTTTACTTTGGTAACAGATTGAAAGATTGGTAACATTTTTATCTCTAGTTAAGTGACGCGGAAATTTGTTGCATTTAATGAATAATCCAATTAAAAACATTTACTTTCATAGCTTCTCATTAAAGTTTCATTAAACAATAATAGTAATGAATGAAGAAAGAATGATTTTCGAGTACTTTACTTACAGCTTCCAGCTTTTGTAGATGTCTGTAAATAATAGTTGCATATTTATCATTTGTTATCGAGATTCATATACCGTAGTTTCAAATATCTCATTAACTAAAACTAACGAAACATAATATAAAGCTAATTAAACTTTGATAAATTTTCCTTCCAATGATATTGTTATTGAAATTCTTCATTGAAGTATTCACTAACATTCGTATTAAAATTTATCAATATTTCTATTACCAGGAAGATAAATAAACATCTTTAATTAAATTTTTATGTACATTGATAAAAATAAAGGCGTCCGTGATTAGTACACAATACATGCAAATTGTTGTATATATCCTTAACAATAGTTTTATTATTTGTAGTTTTGGATTCATACAAACATTTTGTTTTTGGTAAAAAAGTAACTGGAAAGAATAAGAAAATGAATTATTATTATTATGAACCGAAATGTATTTTGACATAGTATTTTCTTTGTTCTTTTTGAAAAAGTTCTTGGTAATATATAATATTATTACAAGTTTATCAAAGGCTTGCAAAGATCAGCGCTGGCATTGCATCTAAACAACGTAATATAATAAGAAAAATTCGCAATAAGATCGATTCCGATCATCCGTAGAAAAAATATATGTCTTTGCATTATATAATACGGAAGAAAAGGATGTATTATTGCCTATTCTGCCAATATAAAACAAGGTTTCTGGGATTTTTAGTCAGAACTGGTCACCAAGTGAAAGATGAAAGTCACGGAAATACCTTCCGGCTGTGGAAGCCAATACTCTAAACTAATAGTATAAAAAGCGATTCGTGACAAAATCAACAAAGTAGAAATAGCTTTACATTTTTTCTTTAACAATAAAAATTTATTGATTTTAAAAAATTGATGATAAAAAATTTTGCTGCTTACTTCATAAAGTTAATAGAATAAATAAACTATCCTGTATACAAAAGCTTATAATTTGATTTTAATGTATTAATACGCACTATATAAAATCATCATTAATTTTCTCACAACAATGTTTTTCAATTTACTTTCCTAATATAGAAATTTCGGGATTGTTAGTTCTTGAAGAGCGCTTCATTCTTCCAAATGGTTGAACATCATCAACAAAGCTATTTCAGAATTTAACAAAAGGAAAATTAATTCTGTCAATCTAGACGAAAACTCGATTTCCTCTCTTACTATTCTTAACTTTCAATTTTATGAAAGTAAAAAATGTTATTAAATTTACAGAAACTACTCCGAGGCTCTTCTTAAGATGAAAATATTTCCGCTAAGTTTCCGTTTTTATCAAGAAGGTGGAAAGTCGAAACGTGATATCTTCACCTAGTAGCGTGATTGATTGATAACTATAGTATTTCTATCACGAACACAGACCTGTACTTAAGAACAGGTCTCTTCGGCGGGATAAGTGCCAGTTTGAAGCAGATTCATTTGACTATTTATCACAGATTTATTTCTCTTAATGCTTATTTTATCTATCAGAAATTCTTTTGAATATACAGTAAATTTATTTATATTACCAAAATATATTTTTGATATTTTATAAAATGTGTAAAGAATTTAAAATTCACAAAACATAATCTCATTACTCAAAAAAATTAAGCAATTTTAACGTTACATTGATAGTATGGTTCATCTAACATGAATCAGTTAAGTGTTTTTATGGATTATAACATACAAAAATCACTTCCAATTGATTTCCACACAAGTAAAGGAAAATAAAAAGATTAAAATTGACGAAAATATTAAACTACTTATTATTAATCTCAATTTATAGTTAGATTATACTGTATAGTTTATGTATAGTTTTATGTATAGTTTTTTTATGTATAGTTTATAAATATAATTANAAAAAAATATTTTTTTTTCTTTAAAGGAAAATTAATTTTAAAGGTTGTTAACTGTTTAAAAAGAACATCTGCGATTTCACAAGTAGTCCTTTAAATAAACCTGTAAAATAAGTAAATGGTTAAGGGTTTACGATTTTTAGAAAATGCTTTCTGCATGCTAATTGTAGCGAAAGGTTAAAATGCAATAAAAATTACCAAAAATATGTTACAAGCATAATTAAATATAGCTAAAAGATTTATTTACGTCAATATTAGGAAGACATACGGCTAAATTATATTTAACGTAGGTTACATTTAATCCAAATGAAGTTATTTTTATTAATTTATGCGATATCTAAAGTACGATTTATTCACTATAAAAAGTGAAATCATTTCGCTTAAAAATATAAAATGAAAAATAAAATTTAAGCTTTTTTAATGGTTTACATTCAAGGAAAGTTGCCAAATTTAAACTGATTAACTATTAAAGTATTATCTTTACAATATATATTTTTAGTTGAATAAAAAAAACCAACAATAAAAATTTATTTAGTTACAGAATCTAATTAAAATTTCCGAAGTTTTAAACTGGAAAAATTTTTCAATGATACAAATCATATAAATTGAAATCGAATAATGTTTAAAATTCCAATAATAATTTGGTAAGTTGTATAGAAAATATTTTAATTTAAATATAAGAAATATAATTATATGTTTTTCTTATATCTTTAGCCAAACTAAATATTTGAATATTTTCTATAATTATGTAATATAAAAGAGTTAATAACAATCATAAGCAATAATTAATCAGTCTAATAATTTGTTCACGATGTATTTTGTCTCAGATCTCGATAAAAATTATATAAACTATTTAATATTCTGTCTAAGGAGTAAGATGTCTTCCTTTAGAACACATAGAAACAGCAGTAAAATAACATGGAATCTACAAAGACTTTCTTTTTGTATGTTTTGATAAGGTAACTTAAAAGCAACCTGTATTAAAATTCATAGAGTTTCTAACTAAAGAAAAAAAAAAACTTGGCTTCCTCTTTCGTTTGATGAATAAAATAATTAATAAAGCAAAGAAGTAAGTGATCCGAGCAACGAACCATTCCAATTTACTAGACTCTTCTCTGCACTGAAAGCAAAACATTGTTGTTGTCAATCTTACAGAAATATCTACTGGATAAATTATTTTATGTCGAAATAACAAATATAAATATTTTTGACGATAAAATGTCGAAAATCAGAACATTTATCAATAATAAAACCTATGGAGTTTTGACCGATATTCGAGTTACACGTTTCATTAGTTAATTTTAATGAGTCGAAACTAAAATTGCTGTTGAAATCATACNTATTTGAATATTTTCTATAATTATGTAATATAAAAGAGTTAATAACAATCATAAGCAATAATTAATCAGTCTAATAATTTGTTCACGATGTATTTTGTCTCAGATCTCGATAAAAATTATATAAACTATTTAATATTCTGTCTAAGGAGTAAGATGTCTTCCTTTAGAACACATAGAAACAGCAGTAAAATAACATGGAATCTACAAAGACTTTCTTTTTGTATGTTTTGATAAGGTAACTTAAAAGCAACCTGTATTAAAATTCATAGAGTTTCTAACTAAAGAAAAAAAAAAACTTGGCTTCCTCTTTCGTTTGATGAATAAAATAATTAATAAAGCAAAGAAGTAAGTGATCCGAGCAACGAACCATTCCAATTTACTAGACTCTTCTCTGCACTGAAAGCAAAACATTGTTGTTGTCAATCTTACAGAAATATCTAC